GATGTAAGTCAAGATATGAGACAGACTTAACTGTATCTGTTGTATCCTATATCTCAAGTTCGATGGAATAGATGCGTTCAACATAGTCACCAAATTTTGAATTATTTAGTGAGAGAACATCATCTATATAGCAGCAGGTGGAGTTAAAAGATACTGCAAACTTCTAATCTTTCTTCTTAAGAATTTCCTGTGTGAATTCATCCGCATATGAATAAAGGTACAAGTCGACAAGAAGAGGAGCACAGTTGGTTTCCATGGGATTGTCAATTTTTTGTTGAAAAACACGTCCTCCAAACGTAACAAATATGTTGTCGATAAAAAAATCAAGCATCTTGATAATGTCAGTTTCAGAGTGTTTTTTTTTTTTACAAAGCAAGATTTATCCCTCCCTAAGACAAGATATTTGTATCTACGTTAGCCATTCTTTTTTATGAAACAAAGCAGGACCAATTCTTTCCAAAAGGTGATAAAGCCATTTAAAATGAACTTTGAACTGTTCTTTCTTTTTATTGCATTGTTGATATATATTGAACTTAGAAATGAATACGTAAAATTCTATAAACATAAACAAGTGTTAATCTTTCTTTTCTATGATACCGTGTCTCCAAAATCTATACTGTATTACACTGTATGATAACTTTTACTCGATTGAGAACTCACAAAATGTGACTTTTCCATGAATTATTGTTGCATTGTGTGACTAGACAAAAGAGAAAGAACTTCTTGTCCCTGGTTTTGATTAGTCTCGTGTTGGTCAATCTGTTGTTGTTTTGACAATGTTTGATCAGTTTTTTGGTTGGTATTGATGTTGTCAGTTTGTCTCCAACTACTGGTGTTTGATTGCCTCCTCTTAGGACAAAAGTTTGCATACTTTTGTTTCAGAAATCAAAATATTATCAAGAAAAAGCAGCGCTTTTTAGAACTAAATATAATATTTCGTATCGTAGAAGTAAACGTCCGACTTAACAAAAAGGTAATATTATGACAAGGAGCAATTCAAACCCTTAAATACACAATGGCAGAAGGACAAAAAAGACTAACAGAAAAACAGCATTCCACAAAAGACTACATAGACAATTAAAGATTCCCAACAACCAGAGATAATCTCATGTGCCCAAGAGGATAAGCAATAACCGTTTTATGGTATAATAGCAAATTTAAATTACTTAAACCTAATTTTGTCACTAATAACGTCAATAATTGCATTAATACAATATCGTTGAATAGTGTACGCTAACTGTTCGTTACATTCTGTGGGGAATATTATGTTGCTATACAATTATACCACTTCTTATTTATATTTATTAGTTAGCTCTAATTTATAAGTTCACATGTTCTATTGTTGAAAGCTGTTTATTAGTCAACATGTGCTATTGTTGAAAGCTACAATGTATTCTTCCACGTGTTCATTGTTGCAAACTGTTTTGTAAGATCCACCAGTGCTGTTTTTGAAGGTCTTCCTGTGTTATTGTTAAAAGCGTTGCATTAGTCCACGTATCTCTTTTTGAAGGATGTGTATTAGTCAACCTGTTTATTGTTGAAAGCTGTGTATTATTCAACCTGTCTAGTGTTGAAAGCTGTGTATTAGTCCACCTGTCTATTGTTGAAAGCTGTGTATATGTCCACATATTCATTGTTGAAAGCTGTGTAGAAATCCACGTGTCTATTGTTCAAAGCTGTGTATTTGTCCATCTGTTTATTGATTAAAGCTGTGTATTAGTCCATGTGTCTATTGTTGAAAGCTGTGTATAAGTCCACAAATTCATTGTTGAAAGCTGTGTATAAGTTCACAAATTCATTGTTGAAAGCTGTTTAGATGTTCACGTGTTTATTGTTAAAAACTCTGTATTAGTCAACCTCTCTATTGTTGGAATCTATGTATTTGTCCCCCTGCCTATATATGAAGGCTGTGTATTAGTCAACCTGTCTATTGTTGAAGGCTGTGTACTTTCCACCTGTTTATTGTTGAAAGATGTGTACAAGTTCACATGTCTATATTTGAAGGCTGTGTATTAGTCAATCTATCTATTGTTAAAAGCAGTATATTTGTTCACCTGTTTATTGTTGAAGGCTGTTTTTAAGTTCACCTTTGCTATTGTTGAGAGCTGTGTATATGTCCACATATTCATTGTTAAAAGATGTTTAGAAGTCCAGGTGTCTATTGTTGAAAACTGTGTATTTGTCAACCTCTCTATTGTTGGAATCTATGTATTTGTCCCCTGTCTATATTTAAAGGCTGTGTATTAGTCAACCTGTATTGTTGAAAGCAGTGTACTTTCCACCTTTTTATTGTTGAAAGATGTGTACAAGTCCACATGTCTATATTTAAAGTCTGTTTATTAGTCAACATGTCTATTGTTGAAAGACGTTTATTTATTTTACCTGTTTATTGTTGAAGGCTGTTTTGAGTTCACCTTTGCTATTGTTGACATCTGTTTATAAATCCACCTGTCTATTGTTGGAATCTGTGTACATGTCAACCTGTTTATTGTTGAAAACTGTGTATTAGTATACCTGTCTATTGTTGAAAGTTGTGCATTTGTCCAGCTGTCTATAGCTGAAGACTGTGTATTAGTCAACCTGTCTATAGTAAAAAAATATGTATTTAAGTCACCTTTGCTATTGTTAAAGGCTATGTTTAAGTTAACCTTTCTATTGTTGAAAGCTGTTTTTTTGTTCACCAGTCTAACAGACTAATGTTAAAAGATGTGTATAGGTAGATATGTCTATTGTTGAAAGCTGTGTATCATAACTATTGTTGAAGGCTGATAATTAGCCTCCTATGCTATTGTTGAAAGCTGTGTATTAGTCCAACCGTATTGTTGAAAGCTGTTTATTAGTTCACCTGTTTGTTGTTGAAAACTAATTTTACGACACTGAGATGTCTTTTGGTTTATGTAGTCTTTGTGTTCTTTCTCATTGACTTGTACTTTAAATCGCCTTTTACATATATTTATTTTATTACTATAAAAATCCATCACGTAATTTATGACATGTTTAAAGTATAGAGTCGTTTATTTCTTCAAAGTTTTTAATTCTAATTCCGTAAATAATATATGAAAAATTAAAACAAATTAGCATCCTTTTTTAAGTTTGTTAAATGTTACTTATATTTTGTATTTATGCTGTACTAAATACTTAAAGATGAATTCGTATTTATAACAGTATTATCATACTTAATGTCTATAGATTTTCTTTGTGAAATGTCAACTACATCAAATGTGTTTATCAATTTTAAGTTTTGTATATAATTGTATAAAAATCTAAGTATCATTGTCAAAAAATGTCCTTAATCATTGAGACTGAATGATTGATAATCTCAATTTTAACAATTAATTAATATAGGGGAGTCGTTTAGATATATTCTCACGCTTCGGTAACCAAGAATGAACATCCTTATCAACATTATGTTTGCATGTGTGAAAACATACCATATAGAAACGAGATTATATGCTCTTTTCATTGCATCATTTAAATAACTATATTGAAGTTGTATAACTTTTATGTCCTTTTTTAGCCTACAACTGATTATATAATCCGGTTAAATTTCAATGTGAAAGTTTAAGTTGTCTAAAACAGAGTCCATATCCTGATTTCGATAACCTTAAACGAAACAGCAATATGTGTGCATGGTTTTCTAATGTATAGTTCCAGATTGAAATTTCGGTTTAAGGAAGGTTTTTTCTTACTTAATCTCCATTATTTTTATTCTTAAAAATGCTGAGTTAACCCACGAGCTACAGTAGCAGGGACAAATAACAACGCATCCCAAATTAACGCGTTGTAATCCCGAAGATACTAATACTTGGTATCCAAATTTCGAAGAAAATAAAACTGACGTCATCAAATAGGTTGCGTGATTTTGAAAGCAGTTGAAAATATAAACTGACATGTTGTTTATCAAAGAATTGAGGTACTGTGAAGCATAGAGAAAAAAGGAAAATTGAGACTGGTTACTTTTCTATCATGAATAAGTTTATCCTGCAATCAGCCAACTATTCTATAAATAACAGGTAAACAAAAAATGTATACATATAATTGTGTGCTTTATTCATATTTGTTCAATTTGTACTTGTTCAAATAGGTCATCTAGATCAAACGGTTATGTTTTCGTTTTCGAAACAGTTCAATTTGGTGTCCTCACAAAAAACACGTATTCATTTAGTTCGGTGTTAAATTCGTTCACTCGCTGTATTGTGGTTCTTGGCTAAACTTATAGTGTATTGTTTGTCTTTTTTGTTGCATTTTTTCTGTCGTGGTCGCAATCGTCGACTTATGTTGTATGATTGCCCCTTGCAATCTGCTTCTCTTGTTTACCACCGATTGCACTGAAGCGAGAACATCTCAACTTGAGTACGGTTACTATAATAACAGTATATATAACGTCTAAATATGTGACAAAAGCTTGTAGTACACCTCATCTTCTGGATATACTTTGATCGTTTAAACGGGGTCTTTCTTATTAAATAAATAGTGTTAGAATATAATTTTGACAGTTGGTTCTAATTTATGAGACTAGAACAGCAATGGAATTATCATGTGTTATGAAACCCCAAATAAAAATAAGACTTCAATAGTCAAATGTCTCTCATGTGACATGTAACATGTAACATTTTGAAATCCACAAAAAAAAAACATTAGCAGCATGATGATCTCAAGTGGTTGCGTCTATTCAAATATAATTTTGTATAGTTTTGATAGCATATAAACCAGTTGTGTCCAACCTAATTATTCTAATGTAGGGACCTCAGCACATTGCTGGCTTACTTTCTTCTAAGCCTCTAATCTTATTGTTTGATCTTTCACTTAGACGGCATTTAAAAAGTTCAGTATTTAATTTTGTCATGATGACATAATGGTTACAAAAAATGGGACAGAAAACAGCGTATTAGTTTTGATATTTTCCTTTGTACAAATTTAAATGGATTTTATACAAAACTTTTATTAATTAGTATGACAGTTACTTTCAGTTGCCTTGTTTATTTTTTGTATGTTTACAGGCTTCGTGTGTAGCTGTCAAAGTTTCCATGTTAATGAATACATTTAAAGGTACGTTGAGATATATGTCAGTGCTATGCATTGTACCATTAAATATATGTGATAAGTGGACTTTCGTTTCATAATCCATAAGCTGAACTACTGGTTTATAAAAGCATTAGGAACTTCTTTTTCGTTATATCATACTCCCGGGCGACTTGGTTTGTTGTAATTAATGATTGAAATATAAATGTATAGTAAAGGCATATTTGTATACGTCTTACGTTTAAAATTATATTTCTAATTGGAAACTTATTGTCAGTAGAATTTGGTTGTTTTTAAACCATTTGGATCAAATGTGTACAACAGCTACCTAAAAGGTAAGACATTTTGCTGTATTTAAATTTCTCAGTTACAATTTCTCAAAGAAGCTGTCGATAATGAAAGTACCTTGCCACTGGTGAAGAATCTTGATTTTCTTAATATATTTTCGCTTATATCTTTGATTATTTCATCATATCTAATCTTCTCAAAATTTATGACATTGTTTCATAATTTACTAACATTTGCTGTTTCTACTCGATCTAAGCACGTGGTATTTATGGCTAAAAACAAAGACTGGTGGGCACGGAGTCATAATAATGTGTCTGGATACAGTAACATATTTTCCGGTGGACTTTCAATTTTGAGCGGGCACGTTAAAAATCAAACTCAGCGAGTCGGTTTAGAACAAAGCAGGGTTTATAGTCTGCTCATATAACATTAACATGTTGTCGTTCAAAATATTCCTTTAATTTGCCAACGGACATTAACCAGCCATCCATTATCATCTATAATTACAATTCTAATAAGTTCTTATTCATACTTTTGCATTTGATTTGTAAGTAAATCATTTTCACGATTCAGTAGTTGATTTTTTATTCGTAAGAATAAAAAGAAGAAAAACATATAAAACATCATTGTAGGAAATATTGATAGTCAAATCTAGTTGCAATTAAAAATTATATGAAAGAAAAATAATTATGGAAATATTAATATGCATACGTAGCTTTAAATATTTGACTGCTTTTTATAATGTGTACATGTGAATTTACTTTCTTTTCGGAATCTCGTATTCCCATTGCTCATTATATTGGAATATTGATAAACACTATATAAGTAAATACTAGTTAAATTCAAAAGTTTTCATACACACATCTACTGATGATGCATGTATGTTGATTTGTAAAGAATGCAATGAACGTTTCATAGGAGGAGAATGATTTTTCAAATTATTTAAGTGTGTAAATTTAAAAATGATTATATAAATCTACTCGTGTTGCATTTATGTTGATTTGTAAAGAATGCAATGAATTTTCATAGGAATATATTTATTTTTTAAATTATATTTTTATATTCAGTACTGGTAATTGATAAACAACAACGTATTTGAGATTTTATCATGTTTGTGATTGCATTGATCATATCTACCATCAGTGTTATAGCATCTGACAATAATACAAGGTAAGATTTTCCCCGTTGATCGGAAAGTCCATGTATCTATCTTACTTTGAATATACTTATTGTTACATCAAGAAAAATGAAAACGGACAGGAAATGTACTATGCTAAACCCAAAGAGTATCTAATTGGTCCTGTTGATATTGGCTGCTACTATGTTTGCCAGAAGTTTGTTAATACATGTAACAACCATAATTGTTTTGACAATATTTGTTCAGTTTTTTGGTTGGTATTGATGTTGTCAGTTTGTCTCCAACTACTGGTGTTCGATTGCCTCCTCTTAAGACAAAAGTTTACATACTTTGGTTTCAAAAATCAAAATATTATCAAGAAAAAGTAGTGCTTTTTAGAACTAAATATAATATTTCGTATCGTAGAAGTAAACGTCCGACTTAACAAAAAGGTAATATTATGACAAAGAGCAATTCAGACCCTTAAATACACAATGGCAGAAGGACAAAAAAGACTAACAGAAAAACAGCATTCCACAAAACACTACATAGACAGCTAAAGATTCCCAACAACCAGAGATAATCTCATGTGCCCCAGAAGGATAAGCAATAAGCGTTTTATGGTATAATAGCAAATTTAAATTACTTAAACCTAATTTTGTCACTAATAGCGTCAATAATTGCATTAATACAATATCGTTGAATAGTGTACGCTAACTGTTCGTTACATTCTGTTGGGAATATTATGTTGCTATACAATTATACCACTTCTTATTTATATTTATTAGTTACCTCTAATTTATAAGTTCATATGTTCTATTGTTGAAAGCTGTTTATTAGTCAACATGTGCTATTGTTGAAAGCTACAATGTATTCTTCCACGTGTTCATTGTTGCAAACTGTTTTGTAAGATCCACCAGTGCTGTTTTTGAAGGTCTTCCTGTGTTATTGTTAAAAGCGTTGCATTAGTCCACGTATCTCTTTTTGAAGGATGTGTATTAGTCAACCTGTTTATTGTTGAAAGCTGTGTATTAGTCCACCTGTCTATTGTTGAAAGCTGTGTATATGTCCACATATTCATTGTTGAAAGCTGTGAAGAAATCCACGTGTCTATTGTTCAAAGCTGTTAATTTGTCCATCTGACACCTGGACTTTTAAACATTGATTAAAGCTGTGTATTAGTACATGTGTCTATTGTTGAAAGCTGTGTATAAGTCCACAAATTCATTGTTGAAAGCTGTTTAGATGTTCACGTGTTTATTGTTAAAAACTCTGTATTAGTCAACCTCTCTATTGTTGGAATCTATGTATTTGTCCCCCTGCCTATATATGAAGGCTGTGTATTAGTCAACCTGTCTATTGTTGAAAGCTGTGTACTTTCCACCTGTTTATTGTTGAAAGATGTGTACAAGTTCACATGTCTATATTTGAAGGCTGTGTATTAGTCAATCTGTCTATTGTTAAAAGCAGTATGTTTGTTCACCTGTTTATTGCTGAAGGCTGTTTTTAAGTTCACATTTGCTATTGTTGAGAGCTGTGTTTATGTCCACATATTCATTGTTAAAAGATGTTGAGAAGTCCAGGTGTCTATTGTTGAAAACTGTGTATTTGTCAACCTCTCTATTGTTGGAATCTATGTATTTGTTCCCTGTCTATATTTAAAGGCTGTGTATTAGTCAACCTGTATTGTTAAAAGCTGTGTACTTTCCACCTTTTTATTGTTGAAAGATGTGTACAAGTCCACATGTCTATATTTAAAGTCTGTCTATTAGTCAACCTGTCTATTGTTGAAAGCTGTATATTTATTTTACCTGTTTATTGTTGAAGGCTTTTTTTAAGTTCACCTTTGCTATTGTTGACATCTGTTTATAAGTCCACCTGTCTATTGTTGGAATCTGTGTACATGTCAACCTGTTTATTGTTGAAAACTGTGTATTAGTATACCTGTCTATTGTAAAAAATTATGTATTTAAGTCACCTTTGCTATTGTTGAAGGCTATGTTTAAGTTAACCTTTCTATTGTTGAAAGCGGTATATTTGTTCACCAGTCTCACAGACTTATGTTAAAAGATGTGTATAAGTACATCTGTCTTTTTTTGAAAGCTGTGTATTTGTTCACCTGGTTTTTTTTTTGTTGGAATCTGTGTATTTGTCCACCAGTCTATTGTTGAAAACTGTGTATTAGTCAATCTGTATTTTGTTAGAAGCTGTGTATATGTCCACATATTCATTGTTGAAAGCTGTTTAAAAGTCCACATGTCTATTGTTATAAACTGTGTATTAGTCAACCACCTGTCTATTGTTGAAATCTATGTAATTAAGTCACCTTTGCTATTGTTGAAGACTGTGTTTGAGTTCACCTTTCTATTGTCACCTTTCTATTGTTGAAAGCTGTGTATTTGTTCACCAGTCTAACAGACTAATGTTAAAAGATGTGTATAAGTAGATCTGTCTATTGTTGAAAGCTGTGTATCATAACTATTGTTGAAGGCTGATAATTAGCCTCCTATGCTATTGTTGAAAGCTGTGTATTAGTCCAACTGTATTGTTGAAAGCTGTTTATTAGTTCACCTGTTTGTTGTTGAAAACTAATTTTACGACACTGAGATGTCTTTTGGTTTATGTAGTCTTTGTGTTCTTTCTCATTTACTTGTACTTTAAATCGACTTTAACATATATTTATTTTATTATTATAGATATCCATCACGTAATTTATGACATGTTTAAAGTATAGAGTCGTTTATTTCTTCAAAGTTTTTAATTCTAATTCCGTAAATAATATATGAAAAATTAAAACAAATAAACATCCTTTTTTAAGTTTGTTAAATGTTACTTATATTTTGTATTTATGCTGTACTAAATACTTTAAGATGAATTCGTATTTATAACAGTATTATCATACTTAATGTCTATAGATTTTCTTTTTGAAATGTCAATACATCATATGTGTTTATTAATTTTAAGTTTTGTATATAATTGTATAAAAATTTAAGTATCATTGTCAAAAAATGTCCTTAATCATTGAGACTGAATGATTGATAATCTCAATTTTAACAATTAATTAATATAGGGGAGTCGTTTAGATATATTCCCACGCTTCAATAACCAAGAATAAACATCCTTATCAACAGTATGTCTACATGTATGAAAACATACCATATAGAAACGAGATTATATGCTCTTTTCATTGCATCATTTAAATAACTATATTGAAGTTGTATAACTTTTATGTCCTTTTTTAGCCTACACCTGATGATATAATCGGGTTAAATTTTAATGTGAAAGTTTAAGTTGTCTAAAACAGAGTAGATATCCTGATTTCGATAACCTAAAACGAAACAGCAATACGTGTTTTGTATTGTTCAAGAGTGAAATTGCGGTTTCCTTAGTTTTTTCTTACTTAATCTCCATTATTTTTCTTCTGAAAAATGTTGAGTTAACCCGCGAGTTACAGTAGCAGGGACAAATAACAACGCATCTCAAATTAACGCGTTGTAATCCCAAAGATATTAGTACTTGGTATCCAAATTTCGAAGTAATAAACTGACGTCATCAAATAGGTTGCGTGATTTTGAAAGCAGTTGAAAATATAAACTGACATGTTGTTTATCAAAGAATTGAGGTACTGTGGAGCATAGAGGAAAAGGAACATTGAGACTGGTTACTTTTCTATCATGAATACGTTTATCCTGCAATCAGCATTCTATAAATAACATGTAAAAAGGTAAAAAATAATGTATACATATAATTGTGTGCTTTATTCATATTTGTACAACTTGTACTTGTTAAAATAGGCCATCTAGATCAAATGGTAATGTTTTCGTTTTCGAAACAGTTCAATTTGGTGTCCTCACAACTAACACGTATTCATTTAGTTCGGTGTTAAATTTGTTCACTCGCTGTATTGTGGTTCTTGGCTTAATTTATAGTGTATTGTTTGTCTTTTTTGTTGTATTTTTTTAACGTCTAAATATGTGACAAAGCTTGTAGTACACCTCATCTTCTGGATATACTTTGATCGTTACTCTGAACAACGGGGTCTTTCTAATTAAATAAATAGTGTTAGAATTAAATTTTAACAGTTGGCTCTCATTTATGAGACTAGAACAGCAATGGAATTATCACGTGTTATGAAACCCCAAATAAAAATAAGACTTCAATAGTCAAATGTCTCTCATGTGACATGTAACATGTAACATTTTGAAATCCACAAAAAAAACATTAGCAGCATGATGATATCAGGTGGTTGCGTCTATTAAAATATAATTTTATATAGTTTTGATAGCATATAAGCCAGTTGTGACCAACCTAATTATTCTAATGTAGGGACCTGGGCACATTGCTGGCTTGCTTTCTTCTAAGCCTCTAATCTTATTGTTTGACCTTTCACTTAAACGGCATTTAAATAGTTCAGTATTTGATTTTGTCATGATGACATAATGGTTACAGAAATAGGACAGAAAACAGCGTATTAGTTTTGATATTTTCTTTTGTACAAATTTAAATGGATTTTATACAAAATTTTATTAATTAGTATGAAAGTTACTTTCAGTTGCCTTGTATATTTTTTGTATGTCTACAGGCTTCGTGTGTAGCTGTCAAAGTTTCCATGTTAATGAATACATTTAAAGGTACTTTATGATATATGCCAGTGCTATGCATTGTACCATAAAATATATGTGATAAGTGGACTTTCGTTTCATAATTAATAAGCTAAACTACTGGTTTATAAAAGCATTAGGAACTTCATTTTCGTTATATCATACTCCCGGGCGACTTAGTTTGTTGTAATTAATGATTGAATTATAAGTGTATAGTAAAGGCATATATGTAAACGTCTTACGTTGAAATTATATTTCTAATTGGAAACTTATTGAAAGTAGAATTTGGTTGTTTCTAAACTATTTGGATCAAATGTGTACAACGGCTACCTAAAGGGTAAGACATTTTGCTGTATTTATGTTTCTCAGTTACAATTTCTCAAAAAAACTGTTGATAATGAAAGTACCTTGCCACTGGTGAAGAATCTTGATTTTCTTAATATATTTTCACTTATATCTTTGATCATTTCATCATATCTAATCTTCTCAAAATTTATAACATTGTTTCATAATTTACTAATATTTGCTGTGTCTACTCGATTTAAGCACGTGGTATTTATGGGTAAAAACAAAGATTGGTGGGCACGGAGTCATAATAATGTGTCTGGATACAGTAACATATTTTCCGGTGGACTTTTAATTTTGAACGGACACGTTGAAAATCAAACTCAGCGAGTCGGTTTAGTACAAAGCAGGGTTTATAGTCTGCTCATATAACATTGACATATTGTCGTTCAGAATATTCCTTTAATTTGCCAACGGACATTAACAAGCCATCGATTATCATCTATAATTACAAGTCTAATACGTTCTTATTCATACTTTTGCATTTGATTTGTAAGTAAATCTTTTTCACGCTTTGGTAGTTGATTTTTTATCCGTAAGAATAAAAAGAAGAAAAACACATAAAACGTCATTTTAGGAAATATTGATAGTCAAATCTAGTTGCAATTAATAATTATATGAAAGAAAAATAATTATAGAAATATCAATAGGCATACGTAGCTTTAAATATTTGACTGCTTTTTATAATGTGTACATGTGAATTTACTTTCTTTTCGGAATCTCGTATTCCCATTGCTCATTATATTGGAATATTGATAAACACTATATAAGTAAATACTAGTTAAATTCAAAAGTTTTCATACATAAATCTACTGATGATGCATGTATGTTGATTTGTAAAGAATGCAATGAACGTTTTATAGGAGGAGGTTTATATCTTAAATTATTTTCAGTGTGTAAATTTTAAAATGATTATATACATCTACTCGTGTTGCGTTTATGTTGATTTGTAAGGAATGCAATGAACATTTCATAGGAATATATTTATATTTTAAATTATATTTTTATATTCAGTACTGGTAATTGATCAACGACAAAGTATTTGAGATTTAATCATGTTTGTGATTGCATTGATCATATCTACCATCAGTGTTAAAGCATCTGACAATAATACAAGGTAAGATTTTCCCCGTTTATCGGAAAGTCCATGTATCTATCTTACTTTGAATATACTTATTGTTACAACAAGAAAAATGAAAATGGACAGGAAATGTACTATGATAAACCCAAAGAGTATCTAATTGGTCCTGTTGATATTGGCTGCTACTATGTTTGCCAGAAGTTTGATAATACATGTAACAACCATAATTGTTTTGACAATGTTTGTTCAGTTTTTTGGTTGGTATTGATGTTGTCAGTTTGTCTCCAACTACTGGTGTTCGATTGCCTCCTCTTAAGACAAAAGTTTACATACTTTTGTTTCAAAAATCAAAATATTATCAAGAAAAAGCAGTGCTTTTTAGAACTAAATATAATATTTCGTATCGTAGAAGTAAACGTCCGACTTAACAAAAAGGTAATATTATGACAAGGAGCAGTTCAAACCCTTAAATACACAATGGCAAAAAGACAAAAAAGACTAACAGAAAACCGTAGACAGCAAAAGATTCCCAACAACCAGAGATAATTTCATGTGCCCCAGAAGGATAAACAATAACCGTTTTATGACATAATAGCAAATTTAAATTACTTAAACCTAATTTTGTCACTTATAACGTCAATAATTGCATTAATACAATATCGTTGAATAGTGTACGCTAACTGTTCGTTACATTCTGTGGGGAATATTATGTTGCTATACAATTATACCACTTCTTATTTATATTTATTAGTTACCTCTAATTTATAAGTTCACATGTTCTATTGTTGAAAGCTGTTTATTAGTCAACATGTGCTATTGTTGAAAGCTACAATGTATTCTTCCACGTGTTCATTGTTGCAAACTGTTTTATAAGATCCACCAGTGCTGTTTTTGAAGGTCTTCCTGTGTTATTGTTAAAAGCGTTGCATTAGTCCACGTATCTCTTTTTGAAGGATGTGTATTAGTCAACCTGTTTATTGTTGAAAGCTGTGTATTAGTCAACCTGTCTAGTGTTGAAAGCTGTGTATATGTCCACATATTCATTGTTGAAAGCTGTGTAGAAATCCACGTGTCTCTTGTTCAAAGCTGTGTATTTGTCCATCTGTTTATTGATTAAAGCTGTGTATTAGTCCATGTGTCTATTGTTGAAAGCTGTGTATAAGTCCACAAATTCATTGTTGAAAGCTGTTTAGATGTTCACGTGTTTATTGTTAAAAACTCTGTATTAGCCACCCTCTCTACTGTTGGAATCCATGTATTTGTCCCCCTGCCTATATATGAAGGATGTGTATAAGTATTAGTCAACCTGTCTATTGTTGAAAGCTGTGTACTTTCCACCTGTTTATTGTTAAAAGATGTGAACAAGTTCACATGTCTATATTTGAAGGCTGTGTATTAGTCAATCTGTCTATTGTTAAAAGCAGTATATTTGTTCACCTGTTTATTGTTGAAGGCTGTTTTTAAGTTCACCTTTGCTATTGTTGAGAGCTGTGTATATGTCCACATATTCATTGATAAAAGATGTTTAGAAGTCCAGGTGTCTATTGTTGAAAACTGTGTACATGTCAACCTTTTTATTGTTGAAATATGTGTACAAGTCCACATGTCTATATTTAAAGTATGTCTATTAGTCAACCTGTCTATTGTTGAAAGCTGTATATTTATTTTACCTGTTTATTGTTGAAGGTTGTTTTTAAGTTCACCTTTGCTATTGTTGACATCTGTTTATAAGTCCACCTGTCTTTTGTTGGAATCTGTGTACATGTCAACCTGTTTATTGTCGAAAACTGTGTATTAGTATACCTGTCTATTGTAACAAATTATGTATTTAAGTCACCTTTCTATTGTTGAAAGCGGTTTATTTGTTCACCAGTCTCACAGACTAATGTTAAAAGATGTGTATTGGTACATCTGTCTATTTTTGAAAGCTGTGTATTTGTTCACCTGGTTTTTTGTTGTTGGAATCTGTGTATTTGTCCACCAGTCTATTGTTGTAAACTGTGTATTAGTCAATCTGTGTTTCGTTGGGAGCTGTGTATATGTCCACATATTCATTGTTGAAAGCTGTTTAAAAGTCCACATGTCTATTGTTATAAACTGTGTATTAGTCAACCACCTGTCTATTGTTGGAATCTATGTATTTAAGTCACCTTTGCTATTGTTGAAGAATGTGTTTGAGTTCACCTTTCTATTGTTGAAAGCTGTGTATCATAAATATTGTTGAAGGCTGATAATTAGCCTCCTATGCTATTGATGAAGGCTGTGAATAAGTCCAACTGTATTGTTGAAAGCTGTTTATAAGTCCACCTGTCTATTGTTGGAATCTGTGTACATGTCAACCTGTTTATTGTTGAAAACTATGTATTAGTATACCTGTCTATTGTAACAAATTATTTATTTAAGTCACCTTTGCTATTGTTGAAGGCTATGTTTAAGTTAACCTTTCTATTGTTGAAAGCGGTTTATTTGTTCACCAATCTCACAGACTAATGTTAAAAGATGTGTATAAGTACATCTGTCTATTTTTGAAAGCTGTGTATTTGTTCACCTGGTTTTTTGTTGTTCGAATCTGTGTATTTGTCCACCAGTCTATTGTTGTAAACTGTGTATTAGTCAATCTGTGTTTTATTGGGAGCTGTGTATATGTCCACATATTCATTGTTGAAAGCTGTTTAAAAGTCCACATGTCTATTGTTATAAACTGTGTATTAGTCAACCACCTGTCTATTGTTGAAATCTATGTATTTAAGTCACCTTTGCTATTGTTGAAGACTGTGTTTGAGTTCACCTTTCTATTGTCACCTTTCTATTGTTGAAAGCTGTGTATTTGTTCACCAGTCTAACAGACTTATGTTAAAAGATGTGTATAAGTAGATCTGTCTATTGCTGAAAGCTGTGTATCATAACTATTGTTGAAGGCTGATAATTAGCCTCCTATGCTATTGGTGAAGGCTGTGTATTAGTCCAACAGTATTGTTGAAAGCTGATTATAAGTCCACCTGTCTATTGTTGGAATCTGTGTACATGTCAACCTGTTTATTGTTGAAAACTGTGTATTAGTATACCTGTCTATTGTAACAAATTATTTATTTAAGTTACCTTTGCTATTGTTGAAGGCTATGTTTAAGTTAACCTGTCTATTGTTGAAAGCGGTTTATTTGTTCACCAATCTCACAGACTAATGTTAAAAGATGTGTATAAGTACATCTGTCTATTTTTGAAAGCTGTGTATTTGTTCACCTGGTTTTTTGTTGTTCGAATCTGTGTATTTGTCCATCAGTCAATTCTTGTAAACTGTGTATTAGTCAATCTGTCTTTTCTTGGGAGCTGTGTATATGTCCACATATTCATTGTTGAAAGCTGTTTAAAAGTCCACATGTCTATTGTTATAAACTGTGTATTAGTCAACCACCTGTCTATTGTTGAAAGCTGTGTATTTGTTCACCAGTCTAACAGACTAATGTTAAAAGATGTGTATAAGTAGATCTGTCTATTGTTGGAATCTGTGTACATGTCAACCTGTTTATTGTTGAAAACTGTGTATTAGTATACCTGTCTATTGTAAAAAATTATGTATTTAAGTCACCTTTGCTATTGTTGAAGGCTATGTTTAAGTTAACCTTTCTATTGTTGAAAGCGGTTTATTTGTTCACCAGTCTCACAGACTAATATTAAAAGATGTGTATAAGTACATCTGTCTATTTTTGAAAGCTGTGTATTTGTTCACCTGTTTTTTTTTTGTTGGAATCTGTGTATTTGTCCACCAGTCTATTGTTGTAAACTGTGTATTAGTCAATCTGTGTTTCGTTGGGAGCTGTGTATATGTCCACATATTCATTGTTGAAAGCTGTTTAAAAGTCCACATGTCTATTGTTATAAACTGTGTATTAGTCAACCACCTATCTATTGTTGTAAACTGTGTATTAGTCAACCACCTGTCTATTGTTGGAATCTATGTATTTATGTCACCTTTCTATTGTCACCTTTCTGTTGTTGAAAGCTGTGTATTTGTTCACCAGTCTAACAGACTAATGTTAAAAGATGTGTATAAGTAGATCTGTCTATTGCTGAAAGCTGTGTATCATAACTATTGTTGAAGGCTGATAATTAGCCTCCAATGCTTTTCGTGAAGGCTGTGTATTAGTCCAACTGTATTGTTGAAAGCTGTTTATAAGTCCACCTGTCTATTGTTGAAATCTATGTATTTAAGTCACCTTTGCTATTGTTGAAGACTGTGTTTGAGTTCACCTTTCTATTGTCACCTTTCTATTGTTGAAAGCTGTGTGTTTGTTCACCAGTTTAACAGACTAATGTTAAAAGATGTGTATAAGTAGATCTGTCTATTGTTGAAAGCTGTGTATTTGTTCACCAGTCTAACAGACTAATGTTAAAAGATGTGTATAAGTAGATCTGTCTATTGTTGAAAGCTGTGTATCATAACTATTCTTGAAGGCTGATAATTAGCCTCCTATGCTATTGTTGAATGCTGTGTATTAGTCCAACTGTATTGTTGAAAGCTGTTTATTAGTTCACCTGTTTGTTGTTGAAAACTAATTTTACGACACTGAGATGTCTTTTGGTTTATGTAGTCTTTGTGCTCTTTCTTATTGACTTGTACTTTAAATCGCCTTTTACATATATTTATTTTATTATTATAAAAATCCATCACGTAATGTATGACATGTTTAAAGTATAGAGTCGTTTATTTCTTCAAAGTTTTTAATTCTAATTCCGTAAATAATATATGAAAAATTAAAACAAATTAACATCCTTTTTTAAGTTTGTTTAATGTTACTTATATTTTGTATTTATGCTGTACTAAATACTCAAAGATGAATTCGTATTTATAACAGTTTTATCATACTTAATGTCTATAGATTTTCTTTTTGAAATGTCAACTACATCAAATGTATTTATTAATTTTAAGTTTTGTATATAATTGTATAAAAATCTAAGTATCATTGTCAAAAAATGTCCTTAATCATTGAGACTGAATGATTGATAATCTCAATTTTAACAATTAATTAATATAGGGGAGTCGTTTAGATATATTCTCACGCTTCGGTAACCAAGAATGAACATCCTTATCAACATTATGTTTTCATGTGTGAAAACATACCATATAGAAACGAGATTATATGCTCTTTTCATTGCATCATTAAATAACTATATTGCAGTTATATAACTTTTATGTCATTTTCTATCTTACGCCTGATAATATAATCCGGTAAAATTTCAATGTGAAAGTTTAAGCAGTCTTTATGGCATTTCATAAAACAAAGTCCATATTCTGATTTCGATAACCTAAAACAAAACAGCAATATTTGTGCATGGTTTTCTAAGGTGTAGTTCCAGAGTGAAATTGCGGTTTTAGGAAGGTTTTTTCTTACTTAATCTCCATTATTTTTCTTCTGGAAACTGTTGAGTTAACCCGCGAGTTACAGTAGCAGGGACAAATAACAGCGTATCTCAAATTAACGCGTTGTAATCCCAAAGATATTAGTACTTGGTATCCAAATTTCGATGAGAAAAAACTGACGTCATCAAATAGGTTGCGTGATTTTGAAAGCAGTTGAAAATATAAACTGACATGTTGTTTATCAAAGAATGTGATGTACTGTGGAAAAAGAAAATTGAGACTGGTTATTTATCTATCATGAATAAGTTTGTCCTACAATCAGCCAACTATTCTATAAATAACAGGTAAACAAAAAATGTATACAGATAGTTGTGTGCTTTATTCATATTTGTACAATTTGTACTTGTTCAAATAGGTCATCTAGATCAAACGGTAATGTTTTCGTTTTAGAAACAGTTCAATTTGGTGTCCTCACAAAAACGCGTATTCGTTTAGTTCGGTGTTAAATTCGTTCACTCGCTGTATTGTGGTTCTTGGCTTAACTTATAGTGCATTGTTCGTCTTTTTTGTTGTATTTTTTTCTATCGTGATCTGAATCTTCGACTTATGTTATTTGATTGCCCCTCGGAATCTTCAACCCCTTATTTACAACCGATGGCACTGAAGCGTGAACATCTCAACTTGGAGTACGGTTACTATAATAACAGTATATATATAACATCTAAATATGTGACAACGTTTTTTTTTAATTAAATAAATAGTGTTAGAATTAGATTTTAACAGCTGGCTCTAATTCATGAGACTAGAATATCAACGGAATTATCACGTGTTAACCCTAATAAAAGTAAGTCTTCATGAGTCAAGTGTCTCTCATGTGACATGTAACATGTAACATTTTGAAATCCATAAAAAAAACATTAGCAGCGTGATGATCTCACGTGGTTGCGTCTACTCAAATATAATTTTGTATAGTTTTGATGGCATATAAGACAGTTGTGTCCAACCTAATTATTCAAATGTACGGACCTGAGCACATAGACGGCTTACTTTTTTCTAAGTCTCTAATCTTATTGTTTGACCTTTCGTTTAAACGGCATTTAATTAGTTCAGTATTTAATTTTGTCATGATGACATAATGGTTAGAAAAACTGGGACAGAAAACAGCGTATTCGTTTTGATATTTTCTTTTGTACAAATTTAAATGGATTTTATACAAAACTTTTATTAGTTACTATGAAAGTTACTTTCAGATGCCTTGTTTATTTTTTGTTTGTCTACAGGTTTCATGTGTAGCTGTCAAAGTTTCCATGTTAATGAATACATTTAAAGGTACGTTATGATATATGCCAGTGCTATGCACTGTACCATAAAATACATGTGATAAGTGGACTTGCTTTTCATAATCAATAAGCTAAACTATATATCGTTATATCATACTCCCGGGCGACTTGGTTTGTTGTAATTAATGATTGAAATATAAGTGTCTAGTAAAGGCATATATGTATACGTCTTACGTTGAAATTATATTTCTAATTGGAAACTTAATTGAAAGTAGTATTTGGTTGTTTCTAAACCATTTGGATCAAATTTGTAAAACAGATACCTAAAGGGTAAGACATTTTACTGTATTTAAGTTCCTCAGTAATAATTTCTCAAAGAAACTGTCGATAATGAAAGTACCTTGACACTGATGATGAATCTTGATTTTCTTAATATATTTTCACTTATATCTTTGCTCATTTCATCATATCTAATCTTCTCAAAATTTATGACATTGTTTCATAATTTACTAACATTTGCTGTTTCTACTCTAAGCACGTGGTATTTATGGGTAAAAACAAAGACTGGTTGGGTCGGAGTCATAATAATGTGACAGGATTCGGTAACATATCTTCCTGTGGACTTTTGATTTTGAACGGGCACGTTTAAAATCCAACTCAGCGAGTCGGTCTAGTAGAAAGCAGGTTCATAGTCTGCTCATATCACATTGACATATTGTCGTTCAGAATATTCCTTTAATTTGCCAACGGACGTTAACCAGCCATCCATTATCATCTATAATTACAAGTCTAATAAGTTCTTATTCATGTTTTTGCATTTGATTTGTAAGTAAATCATGTTCACGCTTTGGTAGTTGATTTTTTATCATTATGAATAAAAGTAGAAAAACACGTAAAACATCATTGTAGGAAATATTGATAGTCAAATCTAGTTGCAATTAAAAATTAAATGAAAGAAAAATAATTATGGAGAGGTCAATATGCATACATAGCTTTAAATATTTGACTGCTTTTTATAATGTGTACATTTGAATTTACTTTCTTTTCGGAATCTCGTATTCCCATTGCTCATTATATTGAAATATTGATAAACACTACATAAGTAAATACTAGTTAAATTCAAAAGTTTTCAGTATGTAAAATGATTATATTATATAAATCTACTGGTGTTGCATGTATGTTGATTTGTAAAGAATGCAATGAACATTTCATTGGAGGAGATTTATATTTTAAATTATTTACAGTGTGTAAATTTTGAAATAATTATATACATCTACATTGATTTGTAAAGAATGCAATGAAATTTTATAGGAATATGTTCATATTTTATATTCAGTGCTGGTAATTGATCAACAACAAAGTATTTGAGATTTTATCATGTTTGCGATTGCATTAATCATATCAACCATCAGTGTGATAGCATCTGACAATAATACAAGGTAAGATTTTCACCGTTTATCAGAACGTCCTTTGCATGTATCTATCTTATTTTGAATATACTTATTGTTACAACAAGAAAAATAAAAACTGATATGAAATGTACTATGCTAAACCAAAAGAGTATCTAATTGGTCCTGTTGATATTGGTTGCTACTATGTTTGCCAGAAGTTTGTAAATACATGTAACAACCATAATTCAGTAGAAATGAAATTTAGATAAAAACAATGCATTAGTTATAATAATAGATGTTTATTGTAAAAGATTTCTCTAACTCATTTTCAAAGTAGACGTGAGTCACTACTCCATTGTTACATATACATATTTTTTATTTGTTTGTTTTTGTTTTTTTGTTTTTTGTTTTGTTTTTTGTTTTTTTGTTTTTTGTTTTTTTTTTCTCAACTTTATGTCCAAATCTTGACTGGTCGGTCGCAAATATTCAATTAACTGCGTCGTCACTAAACAAGCATTTGTATCCTTTGAAACCCTAAATTGACGTCGGCAACTCTACAAACACAATATAATTATTGCACCCTCAACGGAGTTGGGGTGACATATTGTTATGCTACGTTTCTTTTTTTCTTCTTTTTATTTTTTTTCCCACTTTTTTGTCCAGCTTATATCTCGAATTGTATGAACCTACTGCAATGGAACTATACCATAATGTTAACCAGCATGTGCAAACGGGGTATGGCATTTTCAAAATGGCTATCGTTGCCATGGAAACTGCTAAAATGCGAAAAAAAAATTAAATCAAAAATTATTTATTATAAGACCTAACTGGATGAAACTTTATTAAAATGTTACCTGGAATGACTAGATGTGCAAACAGTATATTGAAATTCCTAAATGGCCGCCATTGTCATGGAAACAGGGAGAAAGTTTAACATTGGCTCTATGGTAAAATACAATAAAGCTGCATTTTCTTAAAGAATATTTCATCAAACTCAATAAAACTATATTGTTATGTAACATGGCATGTGCCAATGTGGCATTTGTGTTTGAAATTTTGGAAATGATCACCGTAACCATGGAAACAGCAAAAATTTCAAAATGCTCCAAATCTAAAAAAAAATTGTAATATGCATGCGTGGATGCGCTGTTTGGGGTTTACATAATGGCTGCCGATACCCTGGCAATTGGGGGACGAGGGTGCCATATCCGCTATTGCTAGCAATTGCAAATCTTGTTGATATTCTTTTTGATCAATTTATAGATTGGTGTTTAGTTATTTAGCGTGCAGTCGGATAAGTACATGCATATCTTTGGGATGCATGAATATTAATAGAGAAAAGTTAAGCGAAAATCTTGGTAGGCACAATTAGCATGGAGATATTAGATATAAAGAAAAAAAAAAAAATTAAAATGTGATATATACAGTTCAGATAAGTTCAGATAAAAAGGCTTTAGTTTTCTCATTTGAATTATTTTACATTTGTCAATTCGGGGTCTTTTATAGCTGACTATGCGGTATGGGTTTTGCTCATTGTTGAAGGCCGTACGGTAACCTATAGTTGTTAAATTATATGTCAGTTGTTCTGGTGGAGAGTTGTCTTATTGGCAATAATACCACATCTACTTATTTTCATATTTACAATTAATGGAACATAAATATACTGCATAATGTGTGTGGGTATATATATCTTAGGAAGTTCCATTATTCGTTTATTTTTAATTTACATTTTAATTTCAGAGAAAATGTTCTCAGAACCTTATTTGATGGCTATGACCCAAAATTAACACCAGCATTTTTTCAAGGTATGTAGTTCACTTACACAGTACCTGCATGGATATATGGTAATGAGGCTTTTTTGTTTCTGGTGCAGCATCAAATCAATCTTTTTTAAAAGACTCTATTACATGTAACGTGAAAGAATGCAATATTTGCAAAAGTTATTTTTGAAAACGAACAACCAATGATTACTGTCAAACAGCCTCTAAGCAATTTATACTTTTTAGCTCACCTGGCTTCCGTCGCCGTTGTCCTTTGTCGTCGTCCTTCGTCGTCGCCGTCGTAAACTTTTATAAAAATCAACTACTCCAAAACCACCGGACAAATTTTAACCAAACTTTTACTGAATGATTTTTAGTGTATCTGGTATACAATTTGTGTTTTTATTCCAGCCAAAGCAAGATGGACACTATGGCTAAAAATGGAACATAAGGATAAAATGCATGTATTGTATAATACCTTGAATACCATAATAGACTGAGGAAATTTTACTAGGGCAAAAAATGTTCAGATAGTCAAGAAATACCTCCTTCTTTTTGCAATAAAATTGTCCTTAAAGAATTATTGCCCTTAAATAACGATTTTGGAATAATTATCAAGTGTTTGCCTATTGTCTTGAAAACTTTAATAGATATGTAGAAACTATAAACAACAAAAATTATCAGCAATACAAGATCATCAAACATGCTAATTTGACACGAAACCATGGGATTACTCCTTATAGGAATTATTGTTTTTGACTTTTATATTGAAAGTTAAAATAGATAGGTAGAAATTTTGAAAATCAAGAATGATCTGTTGTATAAAATCTCTAAAATATTCGTATGACCGAAACCATTGGAAGACTCCTAGTTGGAATTATCGCCCTTAAATGATGATTTTATTTATTTTTTTCGAGTTTTTTGCCAATTATTTTACATTTTCGGGAGGTGAGCTATTCGGGTGTTTAGGAGCCTCTTGTTTTCTATACAAATATAAGTTCATGTTTAACAAAGTAAACGCTTATAGTGAAATTAATTCAGAGAAAATTGTGTTTTTACAAAAGCCATCGCTAACTTCAGTGCGTACGCATACTTCATCAGATTATAATCAGATGCTGTTGTCTAATTGGAAACTGTTTTCAATCTATATCCTTCATATATGGAATATTCCTCATCACATTTTTATTTACAAATATATAATATGCAACTGCAAATACTTGAGCATTTTCTCTTTATAGTTTAGTTTTGCCATATTCTCTGAGTTGTTTCTATACCCCAGTATTTCTTCTTTTGAATGAACCTGCCTTTACAAATTGAATTTTCGATTATCAATGTTTCACACTTTACTTATATTCTAACAATAATACCGAGATATTAATAATGAAAAGTATAGACTATTAAAAATACTTTGTGGCTTTATTTGTTTTTATATCAATATTATTCAACAGTTAGTTAGTCTTAACTAACGAGAGTAATTGATAAAGTTGACAAATTGAATAGAGTAGATTGTTTGAAAATATGTACGTTAAACTGCAATTAGAGGATTCCTTTATTTAGCAATACCATTACACTATAAATCATTAGTTGTCTTAAGTAATAAAGAAATATGATCAAAGCAATACCTAAAGAATTAAACCTGAAATCAATGTCGTATAAAAATTATTTTTGAATCCGCGCGACGCTTTGTAGTAACAATTAGCATGGTACATTTCTCGCAGTTCAAAATCAGCATGGCTATAAAATAGGCTATAAATTCCTTACAATAGTTACCGATAAAAGTATGAACATTTTGTCTATGAAGATAATGAAGTAATGGTATAAAATTTTCAATCTTACTTAATTAATGATTAAAGATTTTTGTATATGCTTGCTATATGTATAGTTGTTTGTCTGTCTACAAATGTACCTTCTATGAATTTAAAATGGATAATGTATCCAATATTTAGACAAATGTACAAGAATACAACATTTAAAAAGTGTTGTTTTTTCCCTGAATTATTTTTTGCTTCATTTAGAATTAAGTACGGTTCCTGGACACTGCTACTTACTTGGTTCACTGAAAAGATACAGTAAGAGGCAGAAATTCAATACTAATTTGTATGCGATATTTGTTTTCACAGAAATTAAGATATCAGAGTTTTTTTAATATAATTAATAAATCTCACTGCAAATATTGATCATGAATTTCTATTAGTAGAGAATGCTGAAATGTTACTTCGAACTCTAGCTACTGCTCTTCGTTTCAGCGAACCACTACAAATTGCTAGAAAACAAAAACCTTTATAAAATCAAATCTTTATACATAATGCAATTCGTTTGTAGCCACAATTTTGATTAGACGAGGAGGTAAAATGGTAAAATCGACCTTTTAATTGAGTCTAACAAAGGACAGTCGCCATTTTGAACTCCAGACATCATTTGTATATGATTTCTTTATTGACAAACAAAATAGTCAAATGTTCAAAGAGTCAAATCGGGGCGGGCTATACTGCTGAAGGGGAATTTACTTCGTATATGGTGTATCCTATCTCCTGCTGTTATATAATGTAGTTACAAGTAACAGCACTCGTAATGTACGTTAATCGTATAAACATATTTGATGCATTTCTTATACGCATCAAAATAGACTTCCATTCATTAAAAGCGGGAATATAAATATTTATCAGTCTACATGTTTTTAAAATTCTAATCAAAATTGAAATTGTCTAAAGCAACAGGTATGTTTATTTTCTAAGAAAGACAGCAGCCAAATAAAACAACAACCTTCTGATTTGAGCGCCAGTCGTTTTAAAGTTTAAATTATAAATGGTGAATTGTTCCTGCAAATCCACAATTCTTAAGGTAAACATTCACTTAAATTGAAAGATTTTGTTGCAGATGGTCCGGTTAACGATGAAGTACAGATATATATATCTAGCATCGCATCAATCAGTGAATCTACAATGGTAAGATCGTAAGTTTTCAAATAGTGAACTTCCCACCAGAAAGAAGTAGTAATCAGTGCTTATGCTGCAGTTTTGTCTTTTAATTGCTTATAAAAAAAAAAGGGATAGAATACCTTATACATATAGCTTGTATTATGCTAGGTTAGTAAATGCTCCACATTTTGTTGGTTATAGGTGGTCCCGTGGTCAGTGAAGTTCAGATATTCATATCTGATATGGCGTCAATAAGTGACTCTACCATGGTAATGTAGATAATGTAGAACCAGCACTGCTTTTAACATTGTTTCCCAATAAATCAAGATATCTATATATCTCAAAGTAATCTTGTTACTTTTAAAAAACATTTATACGTTATACTAAATATATAAATATCTTGACTACGGCATTTGCACTAGTTTAATCATTCTTATTACTTCATTTTGCAGTTCTACTTTTTATGTTGTGTAATTGGTCCACTTTTATTATAGTATTGAGTGATAGCATACATGTATCTATGGACAAATACATAAATGTGCTTTAAATGTGAAGTAAGCAATCACGGTGATCATAGATCTTTAGAAAGTTGTGCTTTAACAAACTAATTTAATAGTAACACTTATTTCAATTCGTATTTTTTTATAACACAAAACAAACAAACAAACAAATACTGAATTGCCAATCACGGCGCCCAAACATAATTTCGAAACAATATAAAAGTAAATTAAAAATAGGTTAAACAAAGTAAATAACATTAGTTTTGATTTAATTGATTATATGTTATATCAAAGTAAATAAAATAAGAAATTTGTAATAATGAACATATATAATGACCCAAGTGGTCAAGATTGTTTAAAGTTTTTTTGGATTTAAGACTTACACCAATTAGAACAATTAAAAGATGAAAATAACACTTAGTCCATAAATCACTTTTCTGGATTTATTTTCACCTGGAACGCTTAATAAAAAAGGAAATCTCGGGATTTATAAACCATAAACGCTTATCTTTAAACTGGTTAAGAAATTCTATATTTAATTAGTATTATATGTTAATTGAAAAGTACACAACGTTTTATTTTTATATTGTCGAAAGGTGAAGTCTAGTGCTTTGGTTGACTGTCATTCCAATGTTGTACAATTGATTGCTTTTCTTTATATGTATTTCACTGTACGTTTTTTAAATTGATTGCGAAAAGAATTCACGAGACATGCGCCTTGTAAGTGAATAATAAAATATGATTTTTATTCTCGAAAGATGAATTCTTGTAATTTGTTCGTGCAGCTTTATTTTGTCGTCTGCCATTCCAATGTTATAGAAGTTATTGCTTTTCTTGATTAATTTTTGATTGCATGTTTTCAATCTGATAGGGATGAGTACCCACAAATCTCGTGTATTCATTAGCCTTGTCTTTGTCATGAATCTAGATCGTGGTTGTCTCTGTCTGTTGTTTATGGTTATTTCTGTTTAGGATCTACGGAAGATAATATTGATGTCAGTTGATGGTAGCTGATCTTATTTATTCAGAACTTCTCAGAGATATCTAACGATTAACGCCAAGATACAGTAAATCGGTCATGTCACAGATTTTTGTCAATATTGCACACAGCTGCGGTATGTTAAACCTCAACTAAAAATCGAAAAAAAATGATTTATTTATCTCCTCATCTCCTGAAATATTTCTGAATTAATTCTTTCAAAATTGGTGAACAATTGTATAAAAAGCATATATATATATATAAAATCGTCGAAAAACCTTCTTTTTTTTGGGGGGGGGGGGGGGGGGGGGAGATAAGGAGATGTTATTTTATTGCCAATGGTGTGTTCACGTCTCCCCAACATTTGATAATTAGACTAAAACAACATAAAGGATTAGGGGGTCCTCTTAAGGACTGGCATCTTGATATTTACCTGTAATTCACCTGTTTCAGTTCTTAACTAAAATATTGTCAAAAGGGATATTTTTGAATGATTTATTGTAAAATATTAACAAAACATTTTTTTTTTTAATTTTTTACAAGAATTGGTTTTTCATATTTTTTTTTTTTTTTGAATAGTTTCCCAAAGATTTTAAAAGTCGATATAATATAGCACAGTGATTGAAATTTTAATTTTACTTTGTTTTTATATTTTTTTCTCTATTTTCCATAAAAGTGTATCAATGATTACAATGTTGCGATCTTGAATGAAAATAAACATTTTATATTCTGAGAGCTTTTAAGAATTTATAATAGCTTGAGTCATTAGGCTAATATAAAAGTATCAAACGCTGCTTATTATCAAAGATGTACTATATTTTAATTTCTTAGTCAGCTTGCATTAATTTCCAAAGCTTACGTGACAAATCGAGAATACTTGTAGCTCACAATTCAACAAGCCAGTTCCCACAGTTAAACACCCTACAGTTCATGTCGTGATGTACCTAAATTGTCTTCTGAGACTCCCTTTCTCGTAGAAAAGGTGAATATACGACTGACTCGATCTGGTATAAAGCTGAATCGTTTTGATAAATTTTTATGAAATTTTCACAGTTGAAGGAGAAAATGTTTGAATTTTCCTTGTTTGTTTATGGATTTTTTTTGTTGAATAACATTTTAATTTTGTAGTACAAACACGGATAAGAATAATTACGTATAATTTTCTGGTTATATTCAATCAAAAATATATGAAAACCCAATTGTAAAAAAAAAATAGGTATGCTTTGTTAATTTTTTAACTCATATAATCTTTATACAATACCCCTTTTACAATATTTCAGTTGACTAATAAAGGTGAATTAACCCATACCGTATAGTCAGTTATAAAAGCTATAGAGTTTATATTTCAAATTGACGTACAATGAAGTATAACAACCAATCCTTTTCCCATGCATTTACTAGGAATCAGCTGGTATATAAATTTGTATTTATTCTTATTGCAAGTATATGAATAATTGAGTGCTAAATATTTAGGCACAGGTCGATATGAAATATATCACCTTAGAGATCTTGAAAAACGCCACTCATCGATTTCATCCTCATTTGCCACCATATTTCTAAACATGTTTAAATTCTAAACAACAGTCTTGTGAATCATCCTAAACATGTATAGATTTGACATATATAGCCATAGAAATTTCTTACTTCTGTTTAAATTCTACACACAATGATGCCGATTTACCCTTTATAATATTATATACTCATTCATATTTCTTTTTCCATGTAGTAAATTCACTTAATACCTATTTCTATCCACTGAGTGAAGTTACTAAAGTAGTCAAAGTATTAAATAAATAAATCAAACATTGATTATGTAGACTAGGTACACTCCCCCTCCCCCGCATCACATGGATAAAGGAATTTGAAGAACAACAAATGATTTGTGAGTTGCACATATACTAGTATATAATCTTTCTGTGTCTGTAAAAAACATAAATTAACCCGCATGTAATTTGAATTATATGACGATGTTTTAACAAAGTTAACATGCATTACAAAGGTGAGAAAAATATCTGTGTCAACAATTTATTTATTTGATAAGTATTTTTTCGAGGTGAGGATGTATTGATGTTTTTCAAACAGAATAATAAATTGCAACCATTAGTTGCAATCAAATCCTACTAACATTATTTTACAATTTATTTGAGTTTTATTTGGTAAGACTAATAATTCAGATTCCATCCATTTTTTTCCTTTCGGATAACTTGGTGTTACGCGTAATAGATGGTAGCTGTTGTTTCTGTTAAAATTATACACAACCTTTGTAGATTCAGGGCGACTTTCTTACATGTAACATATGGTAAAGGCACTGCAAGTTGTATAATGTAAAAAAGGGCATTTAGAGGTTATTTCTGTGTGTCATAGCGTTGCTTTATCATTGACGTATTACCCATATCCTGTTTTAAATCATTTGCATTGAAAATGCAGGGTTCTGAGTCTTCAATTATACTTCATTTAGCGATTGTTAATGTGTTTACATGTATGAGGGTTTTTTTATACATGAATATGATTTAGACAATTTTGAAAATGTAAGAGGATATTTTATTTAGTTTCAAATAAAATCTGTATTGATTTTTATGTTGAAAAGAGGAGATACGAATTTAAACATTTAACCTTAACAAAATATCAATTCTTATTATAGGATTATTCAATGACGATGTTTCTGCGACAAAGATGGATAGACACACGACTGAAGTATGACCCTATTCCTGGAGTTAGCTCTCTTGAGCTAGATACAAAAGCTTTGGCCGATGTATGGATTCCTGATCTGTTCATCGTGAACGAAAAGAAAGCTAATTTTCATGATGTTACAACTCCAAATAAACTGATGCATATTTATAGTAACGGGAAAATCTTTTATAGTTTAAGGTAAAAGAGATCTCAGAGCTTATACACGTAGTGTAATTTACGTAAGATGCTTTCTTTGATATAGTTTTTAATTCCTATACTTATTTTCTAAAGCATTTTCTTATATATTTTTTTTACAATTTCGCTAGTTTAAAGAAGAACCTAAATTATCGACGCGGATGGGACGTTAAGCAATCAAAAGTCAATCAAATAATCTAATCAAAGATACATACAAAAGAAGGTTTCCAAACACATCCATAATCATGTTGATTCAAATATTGTATAATCACAACACATGGTATAACATTTTGATTAACTTTTTCACTGCAATGAAACCAAAAATATTTTTGTAATCAAGGATAATTAATACTTTTCTCTCTTTTCAACTTTCTGTGATCTTTGCAATATGTAAGATCTGTCAAAGGTTTGATTGGAAAATTATTCCTCAGACAATATGAATAGAAAGTCATTTTCCTCATTGATAATCATCTCAAGATTATGTGTTGCGGTCTGTTCGTTAGTCCGTCCTTCTATCGGTTAGTACATCCGTCTGTCCGTTAGTCTGTCCCGTTGCATGTTAAAGGTTTGGTTTCAGTATATTTACTATGAATTTGTGGTCACACCAAATTAAAACTTATAGTACGCTTGTTTAATTTGATATGAGGTTTTTTAATATATTATATATGCCAAATTAGGGTTTGAACCCATATTTTGCAGTTCAGTGATCGTAAAAAGATGTGAAAGTCTGAGCGGGGCATGACGTCCTATTGATCAATATTTTTGTTTCAAAAATGATCCACTGATAAAGAAGAATTTCGTAGAAGAAACTAATTGAAAAAAAAAAGCCCGAGCTTATACAATATAGTGATATCGAATATAAAAATTGCACTAACTAAAAAAAAACTTATTATATTTAGACCATCTCTTTATCTTAAATAACTCGTTGTATGATTCCTGTTCTTGCTGGAGTCCTGTATGGTAGTCTTCACTTAAATCAGAAAATAAAAATCACTCATCTCTAAAGTAACTTACATTGTAGATTATCAGGAACATTTTCTTGTAAGATGAACCTTCTTAAATATCCGATGGATTATCAAGTATGTCTCTTCGTTATGGAGAGTTGTAAGTATTGTGTAAAATCTATCTGGGTAACACGAATAACCAATGCAATACAAACATTACCAAAAAAGGCATATAAATGTGAAGATAAAACACCGTACCACTAAAAAAGATATTCTTGTGAATTTGTGAAAAGAACCATAATATAAAAGACAAAATACATACATGTATTAATCAAAATAGAATTCTGATTACGTGACAAGCAAAAATCGAACTGCTACATTTGTTTAAAATTGTATATGCAAACTTCCTATAAACCGCTAAACTGGTTACAACCAACGTATCCCTTCATATTAACATATGTTATTTATTACTAGCACGTCCGTATATATCAATACTTGATGAAAACAAAGTTATTTTTGTATTTCATGTATATTCAACATCTTCTTAATTTTACATCCTTTGTCAAGTGGACGACAAGACATACATGTATATCCTGTCATTTTAAGGCATTGTTACAATGAAGTTGAATACATATAGATTACATGGACATCCCTTAGTGGACACTGTCTGCAAGAGTTATATTTCGACCTACATTTTGGATTGATTGGAATTCGTTTATGCTTGTTCATATAAAATGTTATTTCTTATTTCCGTGTTGTGTTTTTCTTTCACTACGTGTATGTGTGTTATCAAATTATGTATGATATAAAAATAAGAAGATGTGGTATGATTGACAATTTGACAACTAGTTGATGTAAGCTTTATTACCTTCATGAGAAACTTATAAGCTAAACACTCTTTTTCATTCAGTTTGGATTTAAACACTTTTTAGTTTCAAGTTTATTATCCACCCAACTCTTATTTGTTTGCATCTTTTATGTGTGGTTTTATTCCTTACACTATTTTGTTTTGTTTCACAAGCACAAGGGCGTCAGCCAAACTTAGAATTTGTATAATAAATAACTCCGTTACGTAGAAATGAGGCAATCAAGAAATGTTTTTTATGGCCCGGCCGACTTAGGTCGGGGCCATATAGTGTTACCCTTATCCGTTATTCCGTCATTCCGTCATTCAGCAACGAACAGTTATACGGACTTTTTTCTAAACGCCTGTACATATTGAGCTGATTTTTAGTATATGAGTCTACTATGATGAGTTACAGATCGAGTTTACGTTTGGTTCCGCTCCGCCGTTTTTATTAAAATTACAGGCTTTTGACTGGCAATTTAGTGAAAATAACCGTTCTACAGACTTTGTTTACAAACGCCTGGACATATTGAGTCTGAATTGTTTGACGACAATATGGGCTTTGGACTTTGAAAATTTCCACTCCTAAAAATGGCTTCAAGCTTTTTTTGCAAGCGGGGCCATTTGTCTCGATCCGACACATCTAGTTTTTCCATTATTGATTAATTAAAGAAAAGGTTTAGTTCCAAGTCAATGCAAAAGTTAACAGGGTTAATCAGAACTTAAACTATGTATTGACGTGTCTACATTTGTATTGAGAGAATATCCAATCTGAACACTGTACTCACTGCTATGGGTATTTTAAATATTCGATGTTCATTTATTTCGTCTTCTTTAATTTTATCTTTTTAGCTTATAACACATACCACTTTTACTTGATACAGCTAAGCCGATCAAAAAAGACCCAAATAGATTTTGCTTTGCTTTATATTAATTTAACATGTTTTATTCTTATACTTTTTTTATTTTTTTTATATTTTGAAGACGGTCAGAGCACAGAATTGCTTGAAATAGTATGGAATGCAGTACCAGTACAACGACAGGAAAATTTGACATTACCGGAATTTTTGCTTGGTGATATTGAAACATTTCAGTGTGATAAAGCATATGTCGGCAGTACGTAAGGTTTACACAAATATATTATTTAAATGTATTACCAACATTGGTTTTTTTGTTAACAAATCGTTACTCATACGAGGTACCTGTAAATGTCTAGCATCAGCTAAACGTATAATTGGACAAAAGAACCGCTACCTATAACAGAAACGCATATAAACGCAGATAATCAATGAGTATCTAAGATCTGAACAGCGACGTAAAACGCAATTAATGAATAAGTGTACTTTTACATGTAAATAAGTTAAAAGTAACATACTTGTGTTGAAAGCTGCTTTACACTCATAGATGCGTTTAGAATTGTATCTGTGATCTTAGCTTCTATGTAAACTAAAACATAGTCAATGTAACTACCAGTAAATTTTGTGAGATGCTGCTATATTCCACAAGAAACATCTTTTCGTTCAGATTTTTGTAATTATAAGTCACTCACTATTTTCGTTCTGCACTCAGAACAATAGCAATAAAGCATGAAATGCAGGTCCGAGTAACCAACTTTTTATGGGAGGCTGCAATACTCCTAATGATGCAGTACACACTATATTTAATCATTATAGGTCACGTTTTATGATGAAACTATATGTCAATAAAGCGTCAAATAGACGTCAGTTGACCTACTTTTTGTGATATACAATCATATTCCTCCATATACATTATACACTAATGAAATATGACTCATATGACCGTCTTTTGATACATACGATACATGTACATGATTCCAGACTATCCAAAATGCATCTGCACATCAAATTGTATGCCTGTACATGAAAACTGGTTGCGGAAGCTATGGCGCACAAAGACATGGACGCCGCGAGTACTCAAATAGTCACTCAATGTTTTGGGGATCATTGTATTAGTCATGAGACCCTGATATTAATGAAACAGACAATTAATTTCTCCAAACTGGGTACAAGTATAGCCAGATGAATTATATGTATTTATTCAAATACAATATTGCTTACATATTTGTCATATTTAGTTTCATTGTCGAATAAAACTAAAATATACACCAGAAACGTTTACTTTTAGTAAAATATCGAATTTAAATAAATGGTTTAAAGGATTTAATCAATGACAATGTGTGATAACAGGGATTCCTAAAAGAAACTGTCATTTGTCAAAAGTATGGATCAAGCAATATACAGTAACCAGTAGTTTGGCCTGAAAATTATTATTAAGGATAAATATCATCTAGCATGTCTAGCAAAGGACATCATAATTAGTAGTATTTTGACCTTTTCTGCAGAAATGTCTTACAAAAAGAAACATTAAATTATTTTTTCTTAAATTTTCACATGTTTGCTCTTCTTTCAGTTACGTATACATGCATAGGGATGAACATCCATTTAAGTCGTAGCTATGGTTACCATCTTATTCAGATTTATATACCGAGTGCTCTCATTGTTTGTCTATCATGGGTGTCATTCTGGCTTAACATTGACGCAACACCAGCTAGAATATCACTTGGCCTATTGACTGTCCTCACCATGACAACACAAAGTTCCGGTGCACGTGCAAACTTGCCAAAAGTTTCTTATATAAAAGCAATTGACGTTTGGATGGCTATGTGTTTGTTTTTTGTGTTCGCAGCCTTGATTGAATTTGCATGGGTTAATGTCCTTGCAAGAGTGCAACAAAGACGACAAACTACATACTTACACGAGATACAAAATGGTACTCCAAAACGGGTACGTAAAATTCTTTCTGGTCTGTCTAAAACTTCAAATTTTGATCTTAAGATAAATTAATTAATTAATTAGTATCTCATATATTATTTGAGCTCTGTACATATGAAAGGTTGCGCTGGTTTGTAATAAGTAAAGATGTTTCAATGTTAACATATATCTCAGGTTTTCAGATAAAATTAAGAAAATACAAAAAATATTGTTTGTTAATAGATTTTTTTTTAATTATAGCGTTCGCGGTCATCTTCTACACACACAGATTGTTCTGATACGAATAAAGAAACTTGTTGTTTTTGTTTTGAGACATCAACAGACCGTGACAAAGCTCGACTGGTTGATAAAGGAGCCCGAATCTTGTTCCCTTTAGCATTCGTTGCCTTTAATCTAGCCTACTGGTGTATATATCTGTTATGGGAACCAGTGGACTCAAAAGTATGACAGATTTATATTGACATTTTTTTCAAAATCTCATTTGATGGTACATATAATTGGTAATTTCATAGCTAATGTTTGTACACACTTGTTATTTTTTGTAAAGTTTTAAGAAAGCTTTCCATGATCACTGCTGCGCTAATATATTCTAGGTAAATATGAATAGATGGTACTTCCGAACCCATGCTTTGGAATTGACTTATTTTGTTTGTTAGTACAATATATTACTTTACAAGCACCACGATACTTCCATAAATAACTTACAATCTTATAAATCTTAAAACTTATAACTCACCAAGAGACTTTTCAAGTTTGAATACAAATATAGTTATGCGTTAAATTATTAAAATCTTGTTCAATTATACATGTTAAAATAACTTCAGATTTGGCAGTACACTTTATGTTAAATTTGTACTATAAATAAACTCACAGTTACTTCACTGTAAACATAGCTGAATAACTCACTCAAGAACCTAAGATCGTTTGTATAAGACTAAATTATTCAGAAACAAGTTTGTGCTGATTTAACATAACAGATACTTTTAATATATTACTACATGTTCATATTTTTTGCAACAAACATCATTTTAGGACGAATCCTAACTAAAGCTGTAACAAAATTGTATACGTTGAGACATAATACACAAACATGTTATGAATTAAGACGAAATTTTACAAGTGTGAGTTGTCTAACTTGAACCATGAAAACATCACCTTGATGGTATTTGTCTCAAAAAAGTTATTTCGAATACCTTTATAAATGCATGTATGTGACATTCGTAAAAGGATTTAGAAATCCTCTACTGTGACACAAGTGAGTTTTCCTTTTTAACGAAACTAATATTAAATATATTAAGGAAGCATTTTCAATCAATTTCAAGGTCAGAATACCACATAGACATAATGATAAAATCATGGGAAAAAGTTGTAGGCCCTTTACTTTAACAGCTCCTGTATTTGATATTTATTTGTTAACTTCCGGATGATTTAAGGTCAGGACACAAAAAGGTCAAAAGACAGCATTATGCAGGGGAAAAAAGCAAGAAGTTTTTAGCTTAATTTTCATCTTAAATCCAAACTTGAAAAAAATTGTCGTTTGTGAAGACAAATAGATCCTATTTTCACAATTAAGTTTATATGTCAAATGGATGGGTTTTCAAAATCAAACATTATACTTGTGCGGAATTGCAAATCAATGCTATGCAATGTGGTGCTCTAATCGAAATCAAAGTTATGAATTACAATCAGAACGTACGCATATTTAAAAAAAAAATTATAATTGACAATGTCTGAAATGTAAACAGAATAATTGAAAAAGTATACACATAATACGATTCATTGTGACTTGCCAAAACGTTGTTGTAATGTGATGTATATTATTTTTTATTTAAAATTAAAATGCAACGTTTGATATGTTTTTGGTCATATTTCCTCCTTTGTGTATACGTAGTAACTGTCAGTACTCTCAGATCTGTACTTTGTGTATACGTAGTAACTGCCAGTACTCTCAGACCTGTACTTTGTGTATACGTAGTAACTGCCAGTACTCTCAGATCTGTACTTTGTGTATACGTAGTAACTGCCAGTACTCGCAGATCTGTACTTAGTGTCTGTTTTGCTGTGAGGGATGTGTTAATATCCTGCCACGTACGGTCTGTGTTTCTGTTAGATGTTTTTCTGCTTTGTATCGATCTGATGAGTAAAGCCCTTTTCAACTGATTTTCATAGTTTGTTCTTAGGTTGAACTGTCACACCACTGTCCAATGTTAGTGGAGGGTTGGCGCCGTCAAACATGTTTAACCCCGCCTCATTCCTTATGTGCCTGTCCCAAGTCAGGAGCCTGTAGTTCAGTTGTTGTCGTTGATTCATGTCTGTCATATTTGTTTTTCGTATATTGTGTTTAGTTATTTAAATATATACTATGCTGCCTATGCGGTATGGGTTTTGCTCATTGTTGAAGGACGTGCAGTGACTTATAATTGTTAATTTCTGTGTCATTTGGTCTCTTAGGGACAGTTGTCTCATTGACAATCATACCACATCTTCTTATTTTTATATTCTCGAAAAATACAGCCGTAAATGAAAATAACACTTTATACATTTCGCGCGACCGAAGCGCCTTTCTAGATATACCTTCATCAAGAACGCTCAGACTTAAACATTTTAAAGCCAGGGCCAGGTGTATAAATAAGTAGAAACGTTATGAGCGTTATATGACCAAAAGAAACTTAATAAGATAAAAGCAAATTTCAACTAAGGTCAACTTTGGCTGAGGGCGTTGGAACCTTAGTATCTTAGTACTTTCTTAATTTCATAACTAATAAACAAAGGTATAGGATATATAGCCTGGAAATGACGATGCAAAATAAAAAGAACAACAAATATACTTAGTCTAAATATTTGTGCATTGATACAAATATAATATATTTATTGAAACGATTAGTCTAAGAAATTTGTTGCTAGTAGGGGTTAAGTGTCTTTATTCATTTCAGTGTTGATTTTATATTGTTCTATGAAGTTCAACAGTTTCAATATGAAAAAGTTAATGACCTTATTATTTAATGGGTATATCTATATTGTACAAGGAACTAGAAACGTGATAGAAACGGTTAACACCTTCATTGACTGTCCTCTATAGTATGTTTTGAGATTTGTCTTTGATTTAATCAGTCTTTGTAATTTTTTATTGATTTGTATACAATTGAAAGAAATTTAAAGGATATATGAAGCATATCAACTCATTAAAAATTAACCCAACACGGACTCACAGAACCGTTTTGTTGTTGCTGAATAATCTTTATTTCAAAGTCCCTTTAAGGTTTTAAACATGGATCAAAAGCCAACACCTTATTGATATATAAGGATCAGCAGCCCCTAGCGTAGGTTTTAGTGGAATTCTTCGGTAGAATGTAGATCTTTGGTGAATTTAAAAACACGACTACGTATAACATAAAAAGGATATAACCTATAACGGACAAGAAAGTCTACAAATTCTGACATAATTGCAAAATAATCTCATGGCATAAAAACAGAAATACAATCATAGGGCAGATCTTGATATTTGTTAGGCGACTTTGCAGGACTAATGTAAAAAAAATATGAGCCGATAATTCGTCTGGTCTGCAAAAAACGTGTATGTGTGTTTTATTGGGTATTATCCATTTGATTTAGTCTAGGTTATATCCTGATATTATTTCCACTTGTTTACAAATATTTGATACATGTATAAGATTAACTCAAATTTCCGGAATGGTCCTTTTCTCTCAATGGTTGATACTGTTATTTATCTCTCTCACCGTTTCCAGTAAACTATTTTTAGTAAAGGTGAAAAATATGCATGAATAAACGATGCAATATTACCACTAATAGAAGAGCATTAGAACAAAATAAAATCATAGCAACAGAGGTACCTAGAATTGTGTATACTGTCTTGGAAATTGACAGACGCATTGACAGGTGTTTCTGGGTAGATAGTCATATACATACGTTTAGTACCTAAGTTTACCTTTGTGATTGTCAACACATAAAGAACTTAAACCGAATGGCAGATAGCATCTGTTGTCAACTTTGATTTATTGTTTTTTTACACGTTTTTATAAATTCACAAGGGACATCGTATATCAAATTTGTATTATAACTAAAATCAGCTGCCTAACCACCTTCTTTTATGAAAATTTTTTTATTGGCATTGCTGTCTTTAATTCGGGAACAGCTACACCCTAAATATTACTTTGAACTCACCAGAATGATTTCCCTGTAGTTTATATAATATTTAAAATTGAGAATGGAAATGGTGAATGTGTCAAAGAGACAACAACCCGACCATAGAACAGACAACAGCAGAAGGTCACCAACAGGTCTTCAATGCAGCGAGAAATTCCCGCACCCGGAGGCGTCCTTCAGCTGGCCCCTAAACAATTATATATACTAGTTCAGTGATAATGAACGCCATACTAAACTCCAAATTGTACACAAGAAACTAAAATTAAAAATAATACAAGACTAACAAAGGCTAGAGGCTCCTGACTTGGGATAGGCGCAAAAATGCGGCGGGGTTAAACATGTTTATGAGATCTCAACCCTCCCCCTATACCTCTAGCCAATGTAGAAAAGTAAACGCATAACAATACGCACATTAAAATTCAGTTCAAGAGAAATCCGAGTCTGATGTCAGAAGATGTAACCAAAGAAAATAAACAAAATGACAATAATACATAAATAACAACAGACTACTAGCAGTTAACTGACATGCCAGCTCCAGACTTCAATTAAACTGATTGAAAGATTATGTCTTCATCATATGAATATCAGGCACAATCCTTCCCGTTAGGGGTTTAGTATCATACCATCATAACATATATGAGAAGAACATAACCCGTGTCATGCCAACAACTGTTTTTTTAATAAATGTGTTTAGTACCGATGCAAAGACCCTATAAGTGAATCAATATTAACGCCAAAATATGCAATCTTTAATGACCTGACAACAGTATCGTAACTATATCCCTTCTTAATAAGTCTATTTAAAGGTTTTGTTAGCTTCAGAGGTGAATACTGACATTTTTGTGCTTTATAAAGAATATTTCCATAAAAAATTGGATGTGAAATACCTGAACGTATAAGAAGTCTGCATGTTGAGCTATATTTACGAATGATGTCCTTATACCGATGATAAAATTTAGTAAATGATTTGACTAGTTTGTGATATCGAAAACCCTGGTGTAATAATTTTTCAGTAATACATAAATTTCTCTCGTTAAAATCTAAAACATTGTTACATACACGAGCGAATCGTACAAGTTGAGATATATAAACACCGTAAGATGGTGACAAGGGAACGTCACCATCTAAAAATGGATAATTAACGATAGGAAATGAAAAATCATCTCTTTTATCATATATTTTAGTATTAAGCTTTCCATTAATGATATAGATATCAAGATCGAGGAAAGGGCAGTGGTCATTGTTAGTATTAGCTTTATTTAAAGTAAGTTCAACAGGATACATTTCTTTAGTATACATACTGAAGTCGTCATTATTGAGAGCCAAAATATCATCCAAATATCTAAAAGTATTATTAAATTTGTGTATCAGATGTTGTTTCGATGGGTCTTTGCTGATTTTTGTCATAAATTGTAACTCATAGCAATACAAAAAAAGGTCCGCAATAAGTGGTGCACAGTTAGTCCCCATTGGAATTCCGATAACCTGACGATATACGGAATCTCCAAAGCGAACAAAAATGTTATCTAGTAAAAATTCAAGGGCATATATAGTATCAAAGCATGTCCAATTGACATAGTTTTTTGTTTTTTGCTACTAAAAAATGACCTAAAAAAGTTTGAACATATATATTCACATTCTGACTTTTTAAATGCCCATTTAATTAGGTGTGTGAATTTTTTCTTAATGAGAATGTGAGGCAATGTGGTATATAGGGTAGAAAAATCAAAACTTTGTCTATATATATAAGCAAATTTATGAACATCAATGGCCATGGCGTTGTGTGCTTTTTGAGTTTTGGAATCGTTTTGTAGGTTTTGTTGTTTTAATTTCGTAATTTTTCATGTGTATTCCTTTCATAGATATGAGAAGATGTGGTATGAGTGCCAATGAGACAACTCTTCATGCGAGTCACAATTTGTAAAAGTAAACCATTATAGGTCAAAGTACGGCCTTCAACACGGAGCCTTGGCTCACACCGAACAGCAAGCATGTCTACCGTTAAGTATCTTCTCGGAAATCTACATATTTCAATACAAGCTGTCTCTATAAGGCATTTGAAAACAAATCAGAAGCTACGAAACACCAACCGCATTAATTTCATTAACTACACTACTCATAACATTTATTTATAAGAACCAGTTAACAAGAATGGGATAAAACAAGATAATAGCAACAATCAAAATAATCCCTGTCTTTAACGAAAACAATGTTATAGTGTCTATATCAACTAGGAAACCGACAAACCTTTGTAAATAATTGTCATTCTTTTGTGATCGAAGTTTAGAAACGACATCTGACATGATTAAAGAACTTAAATTAAGATTGACTTCGCTTTTCACCATTTCCCCATTTGAAGCATAAATAAGTGTTTCCGTACAAAATGTTTCAACAAATTTAATACTATCCTCTGTCAAATCGGTGACTTTACTTGGAGCAGCTGCTAAGGCTATACATTGGAAACGCATATTAGAAATATCTTTGAAATGACCGATAAAAAATAATTTTTTAATTTCCTTTTTGACGTATCGAAAGGTTTAATTCTCCAGCAAATCTTATACTGTGTTGATCGGTTACCTTTAACGTCAGTACAAATACCTTGTACCTCAAATTGCAAAACAAAAAGTAGAGAAGGAATTTCCTCAGGATACTCTGAATGTTCAAAGTGTGTATACATCAGAGGATCGT